AAAAGAGTATTTTAGTAAAATAAACAGAGGACAAGCATATGCCTCTTATCTCTCTTTTTCATAATCCCTGTTGCCTTGGGCAATTTTCATGCACCAGTTACTTACCATTCTGGGTCAGTTTGGTAGAAGAAAGCTGTGTGGAGACAGAGAAGGTCTCTTTGGTGCTGCGCTGGAAGATGAGGCTGGAAGGGATGTTGGGGCAGCCGTTGTAGTCCTCTTTGCAGCAAGGCAGCCCCAGGTACAGTGCGTGGTTGTTAAATGTGCTGTTCTCATCACACTGCGGGTACAGGACAAGAAATGGAATCGTTCCTACTCTGTCTCACTCCACATACTCTTGCTCTGACAGCAATGGCCTAACAGTACTTTTGTCCATCTTTTGGGTGCACAAAAACACTTCTAAGAAAAAGCTGTGCTTACCACCTTTGGGACCCGTACACAAACCAGACCCAGCTTTAGAAAGTGTGGTCCCCTAGCCACTGACTCTTTAGAACTTAGCAGGATCTTCTGACTGCACAACTATAGTGCTGCTGTCCGAAAATCATACTGAAGAGATAAACCAAGGGAAATCAGGAGGAAGAAAAAAAACCCCAAACAGCCCCCCCAGTCCCCTTGCTAGAGGGCTGCCAAGCTGTAACACTGTAACATGATGCATTTGAAGTACAGCATAATTTCATAATACAAAGGTACAGAGTAATGCCATAGGCTGGTGAAACCTCTGAATACTCATAAACACTGGTATGTTTGAATTCAAAATAGACAGGATTAGCATAAGATAAATCATTATCTGAAGGGAAAAGGCGAGGCTGCATCCATACCCAGTCATGTGATTCTGAGTTTATAAAATTTTGAAACTGTTATTAATCTGTTCATCACATACTGCTAATGAGAGGGAAAAAAGATAACGTAATGACCAAAAAAGATAATGTAATGACCACTACTTATTGAAGCTGAAGTAGAGATGAGTAGGTGAAAAGTCTTCAGAGAAGAATCGATACCTTATAAACATAAAGCTCATGGATATCATCCGACAAGGTAGTGCCATCATCTCTCATCAGTGGAGTGAATGCAAAACCAAAGAGCTTCTTTTCTCCTTTGTCTTTTGCTGTAACAAGAGACAGAAATAAGGAATCATATTTGTACATATTCTGTCTGTCCATATGTACCACAAGGCTATTCACTGACTTCTCTGCACGTCTGCCAAAAAGCATGCAGGTTACATAAGAAACAACATGTAACATACTGTGTCTAATTCTCTGCAAATGATCAACAAGCCTCAAAACAAGCACAAACACACCAAATGTAGTAAAATATAAAATATACATGCTGTAAAGAAAACATTCCACAGGAAAACACAGCAAAAGAACAGCAGGGGAGAACATCTAAATGCTTTGCAATGCACTGACTGTTCACAATGTTTTTAACGTGCAGTTTAATAAATGTAGCAACGGACTAGTTAGCAGTGCATCGTCACTGTATTTGAAGTTGGCAGCCCTTTCCTGCTCTCCAGCCAGTAGCAGCCTCATCCAAATATCAATTGACAACGGAAAGACCTCAGCTTTTTGAGATGTCTCTTGGTTTTATCGTGCACTCACTGGAGCAATGTCTGAACTCGAACCGGAGGTGAGACCCACGGAACCTGTCTATAGGGATGGGCAACTTGATGATTTCCCCCCATCGAGGGCTGTTATTGTGGTAAAGGACAAAAGAGTGGTATGCACTCCTGCTTGGCTCTCCTGAGCCCAGGCTGATGCAGTCCTGGAACAAAAGAAAACAATTGAAGATTAAAAGACATCACATCACTACAGATGAGTCATTTTATTGCACGGTGATAACCTTGATATAATTCATATCCTTCTGTAGACATAAAGGAAGAGTCAGAAGCAGAAACTCAGACACAATGAAATCTGAAATTTTTGAAGAGATCTTTAAACTTTGTTTTAGGTCAAAGGATGAGTGCTGGTATCTTAAGTTATTATTTAAGCTAAGCTCTCTATCAAGCCTAAAATAGATACAATAAACACGTAAAGTCCAAATATATAAAGATGAGTCAAAAAAAAAAACCAAACCAAACCCCAAAAAAACCCAAACCAAAACCTAATAGACTTTTCCAAAAATATAATTTAATCAGGTTTTTGCTTCTGTATCTCAGTTCAGAAGCGATACCTGAACTTTTCAAGCTCTTAACAAATGTTGGTCTTTTGACCTCACCAAGTATCTCAGAAAATTCTGATCAAGTTACTTCATTAGTGGCAAGCAAAGAATTTCTGTGGAATAGTCATCACCTAAAAGTATTATAATGAGATACAAATTTCTGCTTTTAGATATAAAAAGCTGAGAGATCTTGACCAATCTATGTATTCTCAAAATACAGATGAAGAAAAACATGAATTGATATTATTTAGGAAATACAGAAATCCTTATTCAGAACATGAGTGAAGGAAGTTAGGAGAAATACTGAAACCAGGACAGTAAAAAGTCTGTTGTAATGAAGACATGCAGCAGGAAGCACATTTTTTTTATATATAAGCACTAACCCATGCTCTAGACCTAGCACTTACAAAGTGATTCAAAAGATACAACATCTTATAAAACCACGCAGAAAAAAGACAGCTTAGAGTCTTCACTTCTTGCATCTCTAAGGATAATGAATCCAGGAAGAAACAGAAGCTAAGCACACCCAGAATGACACATGCAATATGAATTCTGACATAAACAACACCCCACAGGGAATAACATAATGACAAGAACAACTACTGGTCGTTTCCCCAAGGCATCTCTAAATCCTATCCCAAGAAAACACCAACAACGTTGATTTGATTTTCTCATCTGTAATGGAGGGACTACGAAGTCAAGTGTATCGCATTAACCAGACCCCGTTAGTCTGGCCTGGGGTGATATTCTTCTGGCTATGAGAAAGTTAAGAATTTGTGAAGAAACCCAAAAAAAGAGAAAAGTTCACTGGAATTTTGGGATTCAATGCAAGAACAGCCTCCGGACAGAGACTCACTGCAGAGGCTCAAATCCAAGCTGAGTGACTATAGCATATACTCACACAACTCAGTCCTCTCAAGTCTTAGTAACCATACGGTATGTATCACATAAAGGTGATTGTTTTGATACAGCAACAAGAATTAACTGTTGCAGATATTAACAGGTTGGAGTGAGAGCAGCGGTGGCTACTAAAAACCAGAATGCCTGCAATATCTCACTTATATTTTGCAATAAGAGTAACTTATTGGGCTTCACCACAGCAATTCTGAAACCTCATTCTGCATTAGGTTCTCAGGAGAAAGTAAGACAGTGTTTGTATTTCTTCTATAAGTTACAGTAAGAATTCAAATTTTAGTGTGCGATTTCTTCTGTTGCCTCAAAAAATTATCTGCTGTGGCAGACAAATGGTCAGTCTCTGAATGCTACAAACTTTAAATACATGAAGAGGTGAAGAGTCCTTCCTTCTGGTTAACTTAGTTTCTATGCATTTATACTACAGTCTATAGTCTGAGGAGGGAGAACGGTTTCATCTTTAATTCTGAATTGTGATCTGCAAAATACAAACATGAAACCAGTCTCCGTACACCTCGTTACCATGAGACCCAAATATGGAGGTGAATTAGAGGGCAGAGACAAGCAAGGGAAGCTAAACTAGAACAAGTATCAAGTAATAATCGCATTGTTTAAGGTATGCCCTGCAATTAGTAAAATAATCCTGCTGCTGGAACAGAAGGAAGAGTGAGAAACGTGTCAGGGTTTTTTATTTTTCAGACTATATTGGAAGATACCAACAATTGAGTAAGACCATTTTGAAAAAGAAATACTAATTTTCATTTTGAACAGCACTGTATTCTGGGAATAACTTCACTGCTTTCACTAGGGCTATTTCTGGACCAAGATATACTCAACAGCGAGAAGGATTTGAGACAGACAGAATATTCTCATTACCGCTGCCTATGGTTCTGCTAAAGTCTTCACAAAGGCATAATTCAGGTTTGGATTGTGCTGCTGGTCAGGAAAAATTTACATTTTATTCTAATAACAGATGAAAATTCTGTGGCAATTTCCCCGCTGTACTGTACTCGGCACACGCGTTCTCATTTGGCAGTCTCTGCTTTGAAAGGCCATAGGGCAGGGACAGTAAAGGACATTTCAGCCAAGAACAGCAGTGCTCTGGGGTCAAGGATTAAACTTCCAGGGTTCTGCCCATGCTACAGTAAGCTTGGAGTTTTTTATTAGCTTCTCCACTATATCACCTACTGAAGGTTATTAAATTAACATAATAATTAGATAAATGAAATAGAAGAAAGAAGATGGCTACACTTGACTGTGAAAACAACCTTGAGTCATGCAAGTGATCACTCAGGGGACAGGAACCCAATCAAAGCAATTCCCTTCATCAGTACCGCACAGCCCTGTCCAACACACACCTTTATTCTCAACATCTGCATTAAAAAGTTATTAGACTCCTCTTGTTGCAGTCTTCAGTATTTTCTTCTAGATTATGCTAAATGACTGAAATGAAAGGCCTGATCGAGCAGTCTCTTTACAGCTGCTTCATCTAGGAATGAAACTGCATTCTGTCTGTGGGTGAAACCAGCTCCCTCCCAATGGGAAACGGCAGGTCACCACACTCTGCTCTAGGTGAGCAAAGATTACATAAACCAGATGCTGCAGTGAAAAATAAACCACCTAGGGTTTAAAATGAAATTCTTAATACGAAAGATAAAACAGTATCCATTTAGTGGCATACTAAAATAACCCAGACTAACTGCCCTGTGCTAAGGTTTAGGTAAAAGGATACCCAGACTTCCCAAATCCCAGTGCACAGGTGGGAGGGATGGTTGGAACCGATGGAGCTCTATGTTCTCAGGGCTTTTCACTTGAAGCATGGGGAAGATTTTGAGCACAAACTTTGCCCACATTTTACAACCAAAATCTGCATTCTGAAAGTTGAGACAAACTGGAAATCTACAGTTTAAGGAGCTGAATCCTTATAATTTTCAGGGCATTTCTATAGACTTAGAGAAGCCATATACACTTAATAGGGTCAATTGTCTTCTCTTACCATCAAACAGTAAGCTAACCCACTAAAAGTTAGAAGTAATTCCAGATGGCTGTCTCATTTGCTTTAACTTTGGTAGGTGAATTTGCAGGATTTTAAAATTGTGTAGAAACTATGGTGGCGACGAAAAAAGAGGAGACATGATTAGTTTGCAAACTCAGTTCTATGTAGTTCTTTCTCTTATGTGTAAGTTGTTATTCCTTCAAATAGTCATTTAGCACTTTTGAACTATGCCTCTCTATTCAGTTTAACTGATATTCAGTTTTATATGTTATTTTTCTAGTTCTGTTCTGCAGTTAAGAGAGCACACAAAGGTACCTACGCAGTGAGAAGGAGTTCAAATCAAAGGGAAGGCGAGTTCAACTGCTATTATCCTTGATGGCCCTTTTACTTATTTTTCAGTAGGTATGATAGCTTCTACCCTCGAGTATTTCCTATGCAGAGAAATTCTACTGTCTGCACATTTGAAATACAATGGATCTTAGGCATCATTAGACATCGTGAACCAAAGATCTCCCTGACGCAGATGAAGTATCTTTGTTGCCTTGACTGCAACTATACAGAGAAGCAATAACATAAAAACTGGTGTAAAGATTTTCTTCTAAATATGTGGTTTCAATTTAAAAACCACAGAAGATCCTTTCTATGTAAAGTCTCTCCTTTATGACAAATGTTCACCTGATTTTTTTGTAATCGGATTGACTACATTATATTACTTTGTACTGTGCCTGTTCCGCTATCCTGCATAAAGCCCTGAAGTACTGTTACAGCAATAATAACAGGCAAAGGGAAGAAAAAAAAGATAACCTAGGATCTGTGAATGACCATTCCAACCAAAACCACAGAAGCCTGACAATGCCTAGAAATTACATGCCTTTTATACTTCACCATCAGCCACAGTTACAGTATAATCAGCCATCACGATGCATGTTAGCATTTGAAGATGCTGATATTGCAGTTTGGAGGGTAAGGACCTCCACTGGTCTTTGGCAGACTGCTGTGAACTGAAGTGATGATTACAAATATGTCACTCAATTTGAAAGCTATGCCTAATGCAATTAAACAGAAAAGGATTGTGATCTTCCTGCAAGAGCTGTGAGCACAAACCATACCTCACTAGAGACATACTTCACTTCTAATGAAATCACAAGCAACTGTAGTAATGAAGGGAAAGTTCTCCTTTCAATTAAAAAACAGACTGTGGCCATGTTGGTACACAAGCACTTTGGTGTTTAGACTCTTCTACAGTAACGGCTACAACAGCCATTTTATTGCAGTGGAGGTAAAAAACAAGGCAGGAGGAAGTTACTTCTGATACATGTTTATGTCAAAATACTTTGTTTACTTCTCTATCCTCACACCCTCCCACTCCCCCCAAAGCTGACTTCTCTACCCTCTTCTCTTCAATAATACTGGAGTAAGAACAGAGGAAGCAAAACATTAAACATCACCATCCACAGCTGGAATGGAGCCATCCCAGGCTGAAAGCCAAGATCTTGGAAATAAGGCTACTGGAATTTATTTTCCAAAACTACATTCAGTACCATAACTACAACAACTCAGATTTAAAAGTCTCTCTTGTAATCGCATTTCACCATGTTGTATGACATGCATTATTATTTATTTTTGGATATTTGTCATATACTCTTCAGTTCTTTCTGACTACAGTTACGCTAAATTTTCTTTTCACTATAGCCACTGAAATCACATTTTGAAGTTACATAAAGCTTTTCAGTTTATGAATATTTCCTCCAAGTTCCCTATTCCCATCTAGGGGAAGTGCTCCGAATTCTTTCAAATTTATAACTGACCATTTCTTTCATCATAATATTTAGTTAAAAAACTTAACTAAAAAAAAAAGTAAGATCTAGGTTTAATTCGGCAGTTCCCTTGCATCAGAAACAACAAGAGAACCTGTCCACGGAGCGAGCAGATGGCACCCGAAGCTCAAAGAGGAAATAAGCACTCACCTTCAAGATTTCTCCATCCGCATAGAGCACATACATGGTCACCTCAATGTTCTTCTGCACGCTTTTCCCACCTCTTTCGAAGTCTCCCTTTTCTAATGTCAGGTACAAGTCATTGCGGATATCACCTACAGTAACAGAGTGGAGTCACACGCTAAAATTCACCATGGAGGACTCGGTGCCCGTGTGCAAGATTCTGATTCTGCAAACCATTTTCTGTGTTCTGCACAACTATGGCTGATGCCCAAATCATTCCAAGCAGCAAGTTAATTGTTAATAAAGGTGAACACTGTAACATCAATGCATCAAATCAGACCATTGTTAGTGATGCCTTTATTAAGCGTGAACTCAGAATCAAAACTTGTGTGTAAGCGGGGAAGGGGAAAAAAAACCTTCTACTGCTTTGCCTAGTTGCAGATTTGGGAGTATCAGGCTAAGCCTGACAAAACTTCCTTAACACCCGACTTCCTATTTCCAACATGTTTTAGTACAAATGAATATTTTTGTGGTGATCAGCAGAAAATTATGTTCAGTTATCTCTTCTTCAAGTATTTTCTGTATTTTCATTATTTCTTTTTATCATAACAACAAAATAAAATTGACTTTTTGGGAAACCTGATTGTAATTCAGTTCAGATGGATTAAGAAGGAATAACTAAAATTTTTTTGCTAGATTTCTGGCTAGCCCCTGCTGTCCATATGCATGAATAGAAGAAAGCGGGCAGTATGGATACTTGCCAATTTCTCACTACCTCATTTTCAAGAGCTTTCAGAGCAAATGACTATATTCAGAAATACAAATGCTAGCATCTACCTCAGCATCTTGTTATGCTGAATTTGACAGATTCTACCTCACTTTTTTCCACTTTTTTTTTTTTTTTTTTTTTTTTAAGACTCTGATTTGGGAAACTCTGCTTTCAAAACCATTGCAGTCAATTCTAAAGCATGCACCAAAAGGAGAGCAGGTAGCACCTATTTTTCTGTAAGATTTATTTACTTTCACCACTTCATGATGGGTCACTTACCACTTCTTTTCATTTACTTGCCACAAAGGCAAACATACTAAAGGGCAATATATAAAAATAAAAAATAAAAAAATTGAACAATTTCAAGGCAAGTATTTTGTTAAGCAGCCTCAAGAGACTACATAATGAAGGAATGGAATGGCTATCCAGCTAAGAGAGACTCCTCAAATGTCTGATTTCTTCCACCCCAGTACTTGGAGAAGCTGAGGCAGTTAAATCTGTTTATTAATCAGAAGCACAATGAAATCGGCATCATTTGCTTTCAGGCAGTGCGCGACATCCTTTTGTGTCTGTCAAAGAAGCACTTCAAATTCTTATAAGAAGAATAAATAACAGACTGAATTTGTCCCTTAATCTACTGTAGGGACAAACAATAAAAGCTTTCAGTCCTGTCTTTACTTTCTTTTTTATTTCTGGAGATAAGTACAACTTTTTAAGCTCTGCAGCTGACATTCAGTGCTTTCTGCTAGGAACTCTTTATGAATGGAAATCTGTATGCAGAACGTCCTCCCTTTTCCATCAACCTCACCCTCACTGTGGATTCACACAGAGCTGACTGCTTGAAACACCTCTCACAGTGAGAGCTCTGAAAATGCTAGGGTTCATTAACGGGAAAGAGATGACAGCAAGAGGCTGCTGAAATACCTCAAATATTTGATCCATTTTTTCTCCTCAAAGAATAGTCATCAAATGCAACACTCCACAGTCCACAACAACAGAGAAAATTCTCTTGCTATGTACAATCGAGCTAAGCTACCTATAGATATTGACTACTGGAGTATCAAGGAAATATAAAACTCATCGCAAAAGACAAATTAAGTAGGGACTTTTGTTTTGAAAATCCTCCTGTTTAACAGGCTCTACCCTTTTTTCTTAGGACTTCGCACAATGAGAGAAAAAGATTCAATTTACATGCTATAACTCTTAATAGAAATTAATTGTACTCACTACAATTAGCATTTTGGAGCTTCCTATTTATGACCTCTTTTCTGAAAGAGAGTCTGGCTACACAAAGTCCAATGTCAGACTGCAATCATTTTCCAGCCTAAATTAAAGGCAGCGTTTAGTTATATATAGCATCTTATCTTCCATTACGCTTAACAGGAGGGATATTACTGTGCTAATTAAAAAAAAATGCCTTTGGGGCAGGGGGCAGAGGAATCTAAAAACCAGTGGATTTGCATCAAAATGAATAAAAAAGAAGGGAAAAAAGCATTTTAGTGAAGTATAATCATGCACCTTCTCTTGTAAAAACATTGCGTATTGAATATTTAAAAAAAAAGGTCATTACATATAGTAAAAATAGGAAAGTAAACGTATCTAGCCAAGACAAAAAACATTGAACTATCAGGTATGGAGCCCATCTGTTTCTTGAAAATCTGGAGTTAAAAATACAAATTCAAACACGTCTGGTTATTTCAGCAAAAATAACCTCACCACAAAGTGGTATCTCCTTTTCCCAACATATTATTTACCCACATCTCTTGCCGAGTTCTCGCAGGCCATTTTTTTCTCCAACTGCTACTGGATTTGAGGGGTTTAAGCTCAGATGCACTAACGGGCAGCACAGAAACTAGAGCAAATGCTTGAACACAGAGCACTTTAATAAAAATTCTATTTTGAGTATGCAAACTGCAAGGCTGGAGAACACACTCTGCACACCACCGCACAAGTGCACCAACACATAGCGCAGTGCAGCTTGCATGTGACTGAAGTGTGATCAGGACGATCAAGAAATTATCCTTGTCAGCTGCAACACAGAATGACAGCTACATATCAAGTCAAAAAATCTTGGCAGATAGAGCTTTTCCCATATTTAATTCCATTGTAAAAAGAAAAAGCGAAGTAAAGAACTAGTCTAACAAACCAGATGATTCATGCTCTCTGTGTGGCAAACCTACTGCACTCCCAAGTGACAGTAACTCGCATTTTGAGAGAAAAAGCGTGCTGCACCAACCTGCATCGCTTCTGCCTCACACCTTCACACACAGAGCAGCACAGATTCTAAAACTGGGTTACCTGTGGCCTCCCATTATTAGTACAGGAATAAAAAAGGGCTAGAAGGCCACTGGGCCAAAAGTATAGATTAAAACCTGCGGATGACATTTTAAGCTGAAGTCTCTTTGTGTCAGATGGCTGTTCAGGATGAACTGAAAACCTAGTGAGAGCTTACAGAATGGTATGTGTTTTAAAGCCCATCTCTCTACAACTGTTCTCTATTTAAAAACTATTTATGTGCATTTTTTGCATACGTTGTTACTGAGATTCATTCTTCATGAAATGTCTTGAAAGACAGTATTTTTCATAATAATAGAAAAAATTATTCTCTGATGTCTTATGTGGCTCTTCCTTTACCCTCCCTTACCTGTATGGGGATTTTGGTTTGTTTCTTTGTTTTAACCCATTTACAAAGCCTTATGTCAAATGTCCAATTATTTAAATCATAAATAGCTTTGGGGGGTTTGCTTGTATTGAAATTAAATCCTTTTCTCTTCACTTGAAACTATTTCAACGGAAATGGGGAAAAAAAGGAGTGGTGGAAAAGGCTACAGGAGCCAAATATTGATTTTGTGTTTGCAATATGAAGAAATGTACTGGAAGACTTCCAAATGCTTAATTGTAATTTTCAAGACTTAATAGCATGAAGTAGTCCAACAGCCAATAATTGTCTAGTATCTATTAGGACACCTAGGAGATTTATCCTGAGAAAATGTACAGGCTTACCACTAGAAGATTAACCAGTTACTTGAACTGCAAGGTAGTAACAATTTACAGAAGCTGTCTGCATTTAATCTAACACTTTTTATTCAGGGATCCTAAAAGGTTTTGTACACTGAGGACAGGAATAGTCCCTGTTTTAGACAGGTGAATACTGCATCAAAAAAAGGTTCCCTAATTCACATCAGTTCCTACAGGAGAAAGAGACAAACAAATCTCTGACATCTTGATTGGGGCAAATCTGTTTTTTGAGAGGTCAATAACTGTATTTATCCAGAGAATCTTCATTGGATTTTTTCAAACTGGAAGCTTACTCTTGCCATTTAAGCAGCAAAGGATATAAAAAACCATCTATAAAAATTATTATTTATGTCTATATTTGTTAAATCGGTGAGATAATCCTATTTACTTAGGGCCCAACACTGTGACCCACTGCCTACTTGACTCCCTACCATCTCTGGGTTTAGCACCTTTCTGAAAATACTGGCACTTTACAGAAGAGTGCGAATAACCTCCAGAGAGGGATGGGGTAAGGACACTCAAGAGTATCTTCCACAATGGCTTGTGAAGAAAAAACAAACCCAAACATTTATGTCCTATATATAAATTAACATCCCCACAACTGGAGTAAATCAGCATCACCCACTGACTCAAATGAAGTTACTTTACAGCAGTTTAAACCACTAAGGGTTTGACTCCAAGAGACTCTGTCCAGCTAAATAAAAATCTCTGAAACAAACTATAAAATGTAGAATACTTATATTCATGTACAGTGTATGACTGTGCTCTGGCTATATTTGTTCTATCTCTTTACAGTGGTAACTGCTCTTTTTTCTGGCCAAGAGCACCCCAGTAAACCAGACATTCCCTTGGTAGACAGCTCTTCTCCGCAGCAGCTTTGGAGGCCACAGCACAAGAGCAGGGTGCCAGGAACTGGATTCTGATCCCAAACAGCATCCTACGCCCTTACTTCAAGCTGCAACTTTCTCCAACTGCTTCTGAAGTGCAGTCATTTCAGTACAGGTGAGGGTAACAGAACGAGGCCACCACCAGCTTTATGATCATCACATTATTTTTACAAACCAAACGGAGTAAAGGAAAAAACTGACAAAGTGCACTGTATGGGAAGGGTCTCAGACTCCCTGGCCTTCCTCCTGGCTGAGCACTACAGGCTTGTTCTCAATGACACCTCAAAAGATGAGGAGTGCCAGGCCTCATGGTGCACGCTGTCCCCTTGCTTTAACAGTGAAGTCACCTCTGGCACCGGCGTGAAACTCTGCTGTGCTGTCCTGTGTTCCTACTTACTGTTCAAAGGAAGCAGCCTGGTACGGCCAGTCTCTGGGAACCACACGAGATCCATTTCAGCAGTTTGTTTCTCTGCCCCTTCACCAGTCAGTCACTAATTTGTTTAAGGCCTGTGTTCTTGAAATAGTCACAGTATGCAACTATCACCAATATTGGGAGTGATATTAGAGCAGCAAGGGGAAACACAGCTTCCATCTACTGCCTGTGTGGCAAATGGAATTGACATTTTTTTTTCCTATAAAGAGAACATTATGCCAGTTTAACTGTGTGTGTTCCTCTAGCTTTCGGTAAACAAAACACTCATTGTTTCAAGGAAAAGGAAAAAACAATGCTTACTAGATTATTTGGTACCCGTTGTTCGACTTCTATGTCTAGAAAATAATTTATACAATGCCCTTTTTAAATTCAGTGATTCTCCTGAAACACAGTTTCTCTTCAGTAGTAGTAAGCTCATTTTTAATGTTTTTCCTTATCTCCTCCAGCTTAGTATTTTAACTTTACATTTCCACAAGTTTATTAATGACAAAAATATTTTTTTTATATCCCTTGCAAATGCTTTTTGGGGATGATTTATGTCTTTTAGTTTCGTTGACTCTCTTGCCATAAACATTCTGAGAACAGCTGATGGATTTTGCCACGTCCATTGCTTAATGTATTTTTGCCATGACTTTGTGCTCACTGACAGAACAGATGCCGAGATGTTTCTCACCTCTGCGACTGATTCATCTGCCATAGCTACTTTGTCTGAAACTCTGCGGTATGAAGAGAGACTGATAAGACAAAGTCCCCGCCTCTCTGTTACCCAAGTTTCCCCTATGATGTCATGATTTGCTATCTTTACCAATCCCCCAAATTCCATGACAGATATGAAAATGGGAAATAGCAAGCAATAAGCAGACATTACACAGAAAAGCAGAAACTTACACCCAACTATCTTCATCTCTGCATCAGAAAGGAGAGAGAAGAGAGGGAAAGGGAAGGGAGAAAAGCCAGGAAATTAAGACAAGGGGAGAGAAAAAAAGAGAAAGACACATCACTCACAAGTAGAAGATGAAGCATGCACTTTTCATCAGAGGATCAAAGTAAAAGACAGAATACTTATCAGCACATGGGGAAGGGGAGGGATGTCCTTTGGGGAACTGACAAACGCCATGCCTATGCAACAGATTTCTGATCAGCAAGTTCTGTACACAAAGAAAGTTGCAATCCAAAAGGCAAGCAGCACATGCCTCATTGCTTTTATCTCTGGGGAAAGGTAAAATTGTCAGGATCAGATGGACTGTCTTAAACCCAGTAGCAATTTAGAACAAAAAAAAAAAAAAACCCAAACAAACAAACAAACGTATGAAAAACCCACCACACCTCTTCATGAGGCTGGTTTGACTGAATCCCTTCTGGTTCGGACAAAAAAAAAAAAAAAGATAATTAAAGTCTTTATGATGCTCCTCTCAGATAACAACACAGTAGGAAACAAAGAACATTTTATCTTTAGAAACGAAGACAGGCATGGTTATTTTGGGGATATTAATCTTGTTTTGCATAACCATGCAAGACACGAGCACATAAAGACCAGTTTCACTTTATTTCTTAGTGATGACTGGCTACCACTTATGTTTCTCCTATCTGAGTGAGGGAAAAGAAGGCTTGATACAGGAACTAATGCTACTGTTCTGGAAACAAAACAAGATTAGAAACTGCATGATAAGACACAGATACACAATCTTAATGGTTAAGATGTCCACATGTGAAAGAATTTCCTATTAAAAAAGGAAACGAAAATGTTAAAACCTACGACCAAGATTCATTTGAAATGCCAGAGCTACTTACTTTTTAAAAAATAGATTTCTTGGTTCTGCAGAATGATCACTGCATATTTGAACAATACTAGGTGACCTAGCCTTTTAATTGATTCATGAAAACTATTTTAAAAATCACACTGCTTTGAAAAAAATTGCATCCACTTGCAAAACACAAGTCATGAACTTTCTGTGTTGTTTTCTGAAAGAGGAAACCTGTCTTTAATGAGAAAGAAACAGTTCTGAAGCACAGCAAGGAAAGGTAGTTTGACAAAGACAATTAAAGCAGCAGACATAGCTGAGAACTGTGAACATGCATAACAATGTGGGTTTGTTCGTTTATTTTGTTTTTAAAAAAAATAAAATATTTTGTAGCTTCAGACAGTACTAGGAAAGCTAAAAAGGCATGTTTGATTCTGGCTGTAACAACATAAGCACAAAGTAAACTTATGGACACTCCTCACTCATGTGGGCTGGCTAATCCATCTGAAGGATAATTTACTCTACCCAAATGTTCTATCCTGGACACTGGGTAAACTCAAACCTCAATTTGATCTGTTGTTTCAAAAGCAAACAACAGGCAAACATCTGCTGCCACCTGAACAATGTAAAACATATTTTCATTACCAAAAAAATTGATGAGTAACTAGAATGAACACTTTTCACTGCATCAGTGAAGTTACATTATATTTTAATATCCTCATTTTTGCAGATATTTCATTATTCTGGAGAATACCCAGGATAATTAAAATTTTTGTTTAGAGTACCACTCATGGCTCCCTCTTCACTTCTCATCCCTACTCTGTCCATGTCCTAATTTATCATTACGGTGGAAGTCTATCCACACTTCCATGGCTGCCTGTCTTTTCTTACCTGGTATTTAAAGACATTCACAAACTGCCACATCTCCACAAGTGTAAACCATTTTTTTTCCACATACAAATGCCTAAAGCTTTGCTCTAAACTCTATGCATGCAGACCTCTTGTAGCCCCCCCTTTGAACAGAGGAGAAGTTCCAGGTGCCCAGCAGCTCTGGAGAGGCAGTAAGCACTTCATCGCAGAATGGCGGTCCTTTCACACCGTTGTTTGTATCAATCAGTATTTTCAGCAGATCTCTCTATATATGAGACCAATTCCAAATACATCATCATTTTAAAATCCCTGTGTTTTCTCCAACAAGAACTGTGGTTCCCACAAAAATCAGATTAACAAGCAACTGTGGTCTTTTGAAGAATATAATTTGAAAAACTGGTGGGCTGACCAGAGCTGGGAAGATCACTACTGTACCTGCAGAGCCAGCCCTACAACGGGAGTGCTGCAAACATACGCTGTAGAATGTGGTTTTAATTTACTTAAACGTCCAAGGTCTCTAGGCTGAATATTACTAAGATCATAATAATATACTTATGATTTGGTGGACATCTTTTGCACCAAGGCAGTGTTTTCACTAGCGTTCTTAATTAGAAAGTTTGGAAATTTGAATTAGCTGCAGTGAACAAAGAATTTTTGAAGTTTAGGATAGGAGCACATTTCACATGAAAACTGCTAACCTGCTTGTTCAACCCCTGGACAAAAGCATTGCCCAAAACAGCAGTGGAGGGAAGACAGGCCCCTATGCTGGCTTGCTGAAAGAGGCTAGGGACCAGAAAGGGAAAAACAATTACGTGGAATGCTGAGGCCATAAAGCTATTCCTTAAGCTTACCAAAATTCAGTGGTCTGAAGCACTTGAGGGGCAGCACTATACACAAAAATGGAGAATGAAGTGATTCTTGTAAGGGGAATCAGTTCACTTATCCAGGTAAGTAAATGTTATTTCTGATGTTGACTTTTCTAGCTGTAATCTAGCTATTCTAGCAGCCACATCCAGCTGTGATCTCAATTACAGCAAAACACCTTGCAGCAGCTGTGTCTGCATCTGCATATCAACATGTAATGTTTAATTTTTTCTCTATATGATTGCTTTGGGTTAAGACTGGAACTGCTATAAGGTCACTAAAAACTAAAATTTATAATTGGCTTTATAGCCCACATCCTCTGCTGCCCTAGTGCTGTTATTTTCAAGTCTGTTAGTAAATAAAACACAGACTTTTCTAAATCCTTTTACTTTAGTCTCTAAAAATTCTTCCCACCTACTTCCTACTTTTTATTATGTGTTCTGAAGAGCCTCCATAATGAGGCTACAACAACTACTTTTGATACTGATGTGTCAGTGCAGTCTTTCAAGTATATAAAATCTTGATACTTTTCACATTACGCTTTCACAAAATTTCCTATGTCTGCAAAGTCATCCTTGGTCTTGGTTATAATGCATAGCAATGAGGTCGGATTTCAAATGCTATACATGCAACATAATTAGTGAGCCCATTTCTTAATGCACTGTAAAAATCACGACAGTATAATGCCAGGTTTTATATCTATTGATTGCATGACTGGCTGTGTGCCGGTTTCCTCCCTAAATAAACTTTTGGTTATGCTGGGGTGACCTCAACTACTGCCAAAACATGAAGCACCTCTAGCTGCTGCTCCAAAGGTAAGGAGCACAGCAATGCTTCAGCCAAGACAGCTATTGCATGGACCAGCTGGAAAATCACAGCAGATCTGCAGCCTCATGCACTGTCAGCCACTACAAACGGATCATAGTAACCGCAAAAATCAAGGTGGCAAAGTGGAAACTCTTTTTCCAGGCTTTGGATTATTGGGAAGAAGAAACTCCATGCATTTTAAAAGAAACATCTCTATGCTTAGCATACATGAGTGATATCTAAGTGTCAGGGGAGGTGGGGGGGATATCAATCTTTCCAGATCACCTTCTATACATGTGAATTTAACACCTTCTATTACTGTAACGCTTGTTGATTTAAATGTTTAGCATGCCTCCCTGAATCTGGAATTGGAATTTACTGACAAATAAGGCAACTCTTCTATTATTAATCTTCTTCAAAGAAAGCACCCATCACAGTGACGCTTGTCTAGGTGAGTATGAGGAAAAAAATGACGAACACTTTAAGATTAGAGCTATTATGTTTACCTGGCATTATAACATCAGGAAAACCCAGCTTCCTGGTAACGGAAACGCCCCTGTTAAATATCATGGGGTTCTCCCTTCGAATCTGCTCCATGTCACCACGAAGAAGCTGAAGAGATATTATAAGTCCTGGAAAAAACCCAAAGACATTCATTTTTTTCAAACATAAGAATTAGGCATCTGTATATACAAGGCATGCAGGCAAAATAATGCTTTGCTCCACCAAGCATTGTTAATTCAATACCAATATATAAATACAGAATTCTTTTCCTCCTTGGAGTAATTTAAAACAGAAATGGAACAAACAAAACTGCTTTAAGGGATCATTTAAGAACATAACACTGCACTAAAATACAATTTTTAAAAATCAGAATACATAATTTCACAGAGATGTCACACGTTACAGTGAAGTACTTTGCATTATTTCTGTTCCTCACATACAGCAGGTTACAACACATGTATGAGCAACACCACTTCTGTCTGTCACACAATGCTGCAGAACGTCCCTAAAGCACCTTTAATCCCACTTAATACCATTAAAAAAAATCTCAAAGTGTATCTGTTCCATTTGTTTCTTTAACTACTTAACACAACAATGTTGATTGCAATGAAACTCTCTTCAGTATCTCAATATGTTTCAACAGTACCACCCGGTCAAACTGACTTCAGAAAATAAGAAGAAAGCTCAGCAACCAGCTCTTCCAGTGTCACCCTTCGTTCAGTACAACAACTGAATACTGACTAGGAATAATTACACAGTTCATCTCAGTCCAACTGCTTACTCTAGTTGCTTTTCATTTATAGTATACTTCACTCCAAAAGTGAGCATAACGGATTGGTAAAGTTACAAAGTCAAGCATTAAGATACCAGAAACTGCCAGGGTTAAGCTCAACCATGTAAACGTAGTCTCATCTGCTGAGCATACGTTACCAGCTTCACGTGCCAACCCACTTTACGTTCACGTGGTCATTTTCCACAGTCTTTATCTCACTCAATCCATGATAGTTAGTCAATACTTCTTTCTGTCCTCTCTGTTCACTCACTAGAACACCACAGATGAAAACAAACACTACCCTATATACCAATTCCTGCATGAGCCACCTAACGTTTTGCTATTTCCTAAGCTTAATATATTGGCTTTGCGAATAATATTTAGTCACTGTCTTGTTAGACAAGTTACCAGGGGAATGAAACCAGTAATATCATGCACCTCTCACCCAGTTTCTGCTTTCTTCCCTTGAAATAATTTCAAGCCTATTGTTTGGCTTCAGCCAAATCTGGCAAATAAGCAGATATCTAGATAACATGAAGATTGCGTAAGTTTTATGAATACTGGGAGTTGGGAGGAAAAAAAAGAGCATAAAGCCTTAAAAAGAAGGAAAAGGGAGGCCAGCCAGCCAGCTGGATAGTCAGCATGTATGTCCTCAAATCCTGCCAAAACACAGACTCGCAACTGTCCAGCTGAGCAGGCAGAAGAGCGCTGCAAAGCACTGCGGGGAAAACAGAGGCTTTGTAACCATGGAAAAACTCCAGTCCTTTGAACTGCTGTGCACATGAGTACCCGTGTGCACACTACACAAGGTTTAACAGAACACAGGATACAAGCTCATTAGAAGTCAGTCCTGACTATTTTTGCCACTTACAGAAAAAAAATGTTAATTTTATACCTCTTTTGCTATTAAAAATAAACAAATGAAAATTAATTCTAAAAATTCCATCATAAAGAACTGGAGCAAATTTAGAAGTTCAGACCTCCCCCATTTTATACCCCCTTTTGCTATTAAAAATAAACACATGAAAATTAATTCTAAAAATTCCATCATAAAGAACTGGAGCAAATTTAGAAGTTCAGACCTCCCCCAACCCAACACCCCCAGTGCTTACTTAACAAATAGCATCACAATTAAGCTATTTGCTATAAAAATCAGTCACTAGAGGTAACAGAATACGTAATTTTCCAGCATGGTATTAAATATATTACTTATGTGATAACCCTCCCACGTATTTCACCCCAAAAAACTTCTGCCTAGCTTCTTGCTGTCCCCAGGAGGTTTTGTAAATCTGCTCTCCAGTCCTTGTTTTCTACCACAAATAGCATTACAATTAAGCTATTTGCTATAAAAATCAGTCACTAGAGGTAACAGAATACGTAATTTTCCAGCATGGTATTAAATATATTACTTATGTGATAACCCTCCCACGTATTTCACCCCAAAAAACTTCTGCCTAGCTTCTTGCTGTCCCCAGGAGGTTTTGTAAATCTGCTCTCCAGTCCTTGTTTTCTACCCAGCCAAGCCTTCCAGGTTCTTTTTTCTATTCCCTGCAGCAGATTGGAAGGACCAATTTTACACAAGACCTGGGAAGGTGGGGAGAGAAACAACCAGAGCACTTTTCTTCAGTGAAAAATCACACTTGTGATTTGAGCATTTCCTCACTGTAGGAGCAGGATCTGAGAGGTCCAAACTGTGTTCCTTAAGCTTAAATCATGTCAGCCTGGAATACAGCCCCTCCCACCAAGACAATACCTCTGCCAACTTTCTACCTCCTATTCCAGAGATGCACTAGATCTTAATGAAATGTTTGAAGTAATTATTTTAAAAAGCCAAAGGCAAGGTAAAAAGCTCTCTTTCTCCCTTTCCTTCTGCTCTTCAAAAAAGCTCACGCTTGGAAAAGAAAGTTTCCACCTGACATTGGAAATAAATGCAAACAGTCCAAGGTTTCAAAGGCAAATACAATTCAGGAAAATGTTTTAATGGTAAGTGGAAGATGACCTTAACTGCAACAACATGAACAGCAGGGAAGGAGACCAGCTTTGCATATAACAAAATTTCAAACCTGAGAACTGTTTGATTTGATTATTGTTGTGCTTATTATCTTCTATGGGAGTGTGAACTGCGTATTCCACTACAGTACCCCAATATGCAAACAAGTGAAATTAAGACAATATCGGTACTTGGACATCAGTACGCCTATGAATCAGGCACTCGGTAGTGAATGCAAAACCAGCTGTAACAAAGCAGAACTACATCCTATCAGCTGGTTCATTTGGAACGGAATAGTAAGGATCTCTCTCAATCAGCAAACTACAGAAATCATTAAACGAGGTAACACGATAGGACAAGATTTACTATCCATTTTTATCTGTCATTAACTAGGAAAATAAAAACGGATTTGAAAGGTGGCAAAAACTCAGCCAAGACAGTTACTCTCCTCAACTATGTAATGAAACATTTAGTAGTGAAACCACCACAGAGAGTCTTCTCGATAATTAACTTGTAGGTACGAAAACACTGCTTATTTTCTGGACAGTCAGATTTTTCTGAACAGTCAGACAATATGTTGGACAAATCTAACCTCTGGCTCTGCTCCTGTTGACAAAAATGCATGGCATCCTCAGGAGAGCAAGCCTTAGGTATGTGTTGTACCTGGAATTTTCACGGGAACACAGGATGAAAAGGAAGCCAGTTTTACTCAGGGAAATTCTAATGAATAAAATTTAAATTCTTCATTTCCTGAGCAGCCAAGTCAGGTCACAGTAACTTAAGGCAGTGTGACAAAAAAAACATAACAAACCCAAACCCAAACTTTCAAAGGAGTTCTGCCAATGCTGATTGCTGCTGATGCTGTGTCCACCCATGGGCTAGCAGTTTTCACACGCACAGATACATGCAGCAACTGTGACAGCCAAGAAATGAAGAACCACAGAGGAAGCTAATACTATAGCAGGCCACTAGCTCTCTCCACTGCTGACCTCACTTGAGATAAAATAGCACCACAGAGAGATAATGATGAAGGAAATCTGGCATGCTGAATTAATATTATTGTCCACCATATCTGAGAAGGAAAGATATCAGGGGGGTTTTTTATTTCTTGGTTAAATTGGCAGATGCAATACAGATTTCCACCTGTAAACTGAACGCGAATGAATTTTAGCTAAACTTTCAAATCATCACAAGTAGAGAAATTCAGTTATGCATAATCTCACATCCCACTTAATTTCTCTGCTATTAACTAGCAGTTTCCTAAAGGAAATATTCAGCTGTTATAATGACAAAAATGTACAAGTAAATATTTACCATAGTTTGAGCTGGGTGCTGTGTATTTGGTGCTGGACTTGCGAATAATATTTTCATGGATCTGGCACCACTCATTTTCGTTGTTACACCTAAAATAAAAGAACACTAATTCAAGTAAAAAGCTTTCTGCTGAATCTTAGGACAGGAAAGTCAACTCTGCTGTAGAGATAACACGAAAGGTTGCAGGGTTTTGATGAATGAGAGAAATCCCACGTAACTCTTGTTTTTAAAGTGGAAGAAAACATTCCCTAATAGTTATTTCCTCTTTACGGACACTTTCAGGTCTGTGGAGACTCTTCTGTCATCAAAGGCATTGTTTCATTCTTCACTTTATGACAGAACAAAGCAAGCTCTGGACATCTTTAGCTGAATTCTGTGCACACAGAAAATTAATTTTAAGCTGAAATTAACTGTTGCCATATATTACCCTTTTGTGCTTAATACAAAATAAAGTTATAACCAAGAAATAAAAAGTGAAATTTGAAAGACTAAACAAAGCCCTGCTTTTTAGTATCTCAGACATTTTCAACAAGGCTTTTGTTTACCCACATATTTTACAGAACACCTTGAACCATGGTCCAGCTCCCTTCCCCTCCTACCAAAACTGTAGGACAAGTATGCTTCTGTATTTCTATCATCTTCTGAAGGAGCATTTCACAATTGTTTATTCATCCATATGTAATTTTAATAAACATTTTTAAACACTGTTATATTGCATTTTCAGTTACATTATCATCTGTAAATCCTCAATAAATTTCTAGGACAGAAACTACAATATAATTACCTGTCAACAGTTTTCTTGGATTTCCACTCAATGTTTTTTTCACCAGGAGAAAATCAGTTGTTAATATCAGTTTCAGTAACACACAACTCCCCGAACTCATTAAGCTTGAAGGGAATCATCGCAGGAAGAGTGCCACCAGTGCTATACAGCTCATTATGACATAATGAAGGGACACACTGTAAATGTTACGAAGTACTTCACACTAGTGTAAACACAATTAAAATGACAATTTTACCAGTATAATAAGCTGATTGAAAAACAAAAATGGAACCTTTACCACAAACGGTGCTACTGGTTAAAAATGAAAAAACAAAAACAAAAACAAAAAAACCAACATCAAACAAGACTGACAAAAGGAAAACCTGTATGTTGATCAAGTCTAATTGCCTTTCAAATTCAATTGCCTTTTATTTAAATGACAACGGCAAAATTTAAAGATGCCCCATGAAGTCAGCAATTTTTAAATCAGCAGCAATAGTGGATCTTACTTCTCTTGAAGTGCAATTGGATTAAATAATTAAACTCATTTTCTGTTGACTCTTAAAAGTAAAAAAAAACCAACAAACAAACACCAAACAACAAAAACCCCAAACCAAACCAAACTATAAGCCTTCAGCTCCTAACAAGACAGGAGTCTTGAGAAATAAGTCACTTTACAAAAGCTTCTCCCAAGCATATTAGCATTTTTCCCCCCTTTTGTTTCCTCCCAAGAGTACATGTTGGCAAAATCACGGTACGATACAAACCATCTACTGTGAAGACTGGGATTTCGTTGTCTGCTGCATTATGTAACGGAAGAATAGCACGGCAAAAGGCATTAAGGCTATCTAGAACAAGTAGTAGCTGGTAATTTTCTACAGCTTCAGTATTACAAAACCATATACTGCCAAGAATAATGAGATAACCCACAAACCCTGTTATGGCACACTTACTGACACCCCACACAAATGTTGACTACTATGAAAGCAAAAGGGACATAAAAAACTTGGAATAAATTAAACCTGAAGTACAGGCATTAAAAAAGGCAACATGGAGAAAAACCATTAAGATTACTTCCTCCCAGTGTGCTATCCAAAAGTATTCAGTCAATTAAAACGCTGATCAGGCCGTGTTCCTGTGTTCCCTCGTCATCTGGTGCAGTTAGATTGGGATTATCCCACCTGAAATCTCAGCTCCACCTGTCTCAACATTCCTCCTTTCACTGCAGTGGGTTTAGGTATCAGACATCTCAGCTGATTGCTAAGAATCTACGAACATAAAAAAAAAGCTTCTCATATTGGCAATAAAAGATAGTACTTGGGCAGGGTAAAGAAGCAGTCATGCTCATCCAGGTTGCTGGATGTTAGAGTGTACATCCCTGTTACTATTCCTGTTTACGGACCTGTTCTTCAGAAACCTGACTAATCCCCTTTGGACCTCCTAATACCGCTTGTCTTGACAACATCCCGTGGCAGTACAACCCAGAAGATCACTACCTGTTTTCTAAAGGAGTACTTTCTTCCATCTTTTTAATGTCTTCTCCTACCAATTTCACTGAGCATCCCTAACTCTTGTACTGTTGTATTCCATGAACAACAGTTGACCCTCCACCATGATTTTGGAAGTCTTGGTCATATCCCTTCCCACTGCCACTTCTCTTTAAACTGAAGCTCCCCACCTTCTCAATCTCTCTCATAAAGAAAAGACTCCCTGCCGTTACACATTCTGGTTGCTCTGCTCCATCCCTTCTGTAACTAAGATATCCTTTCTGGGAGGAGAGCTCAGATAGCCACACAGTAACTCCAGACAGGTCAGCACTGAAGTGACCTTCCAGAACTTAACAGTACGGCAAATTGACTACATTTGCACTCCCCAAAACAACCTCTCAAAACCAAAACACAACAAAGCTGAGGCATTAATGGGCAGTACGAGACCCCCTTCAGTAATTGCGGTGTTCTGTGCAAGCTCAGAACTTCAACCAATATTCAGCTTACTTGTCAGGAAAAAATAACAATTAACTTCACACTGTTTACTTCTCCTGTCTTGTCAAGACATTAAAAGTCATTTATCCTACTGTAAATAATATTCTCCTTAAAGCAGAGAGATAACCTTTAGGACAAATTCTATACCATCCTCCATCCTTACAGCTGAGACTACAGAAAATTTCCAACCTCTTGTAACTTCTTAGCTGCTGTACCAGCCTCTTGAGGGCAAGCTAAAATAGATTTCAGCCTCCAATGACTTATGCCTGCAAACTAACCCAGAGCAAAGTTATCCCAAAATCAGTGGCCTGTAAAGATAGCTTACAGCTAGTTTCGTACCAACTACCAACATAAGCTGCACTTTACATTTCCTCAACACAAAGAAGAAGAATATTCTCTCAAGTTTCAAATGCTGGCCTGGAAATATTTGCCTGTAATGCATTTTATTGTGTTAATGTTCTACTTGTCTAAATACCAAATATATTACAAAAGATATTTCTAGTTTAAATAAGAATTTTCTCATGAGCTATCCATCACCTTTTCAGTTTTGCTGGTTCTACAGTAAATTCACCACTTGGAATGTTTGCCACACTACATCAGACCCTGATGTCAAACAGATGGGGACAGAAATGCAACGTACACGCTTGTCCAGCTGGGCAAATAGCAACAACTGAGTATCAAAAGGGAAAGGCATTCAGGCAATATACCACATTAAGAAGGAGGAATAACAAGAGCTAGTGCTGGAGAATGAGGAAAAAAAAAAAAAAGAACCGAGAGAAATAGGACAAAAAAAAAACCCGAAAAAGACATACGTGAAGTTTTTAGGGGAACGGAAAGATTGACACAGAGAGTAATGTGTAATAAGCAAAAGGCTCCAATAAATGTAAAAATTCATATAAGAATATGAAACCAAGTGATCTCAGAAAAAAAAAGGATTGAGATTTTAGTGTCCATCTCACTTTTTCAAATATTTTACATGTACGTTATTAAAAAGAATTATAAAAGTAAACCTTCATGCTTTTACATAATGAGCTTATAGCTAGAGCTGTGGTACGATATCCTCTTAGTAAGATTAGAACATGACTGCAGGATTAACAAACAGGAAAATCTGGATTGTGAGAAAGAAGTATTTTTCAGACACAAATCTTTAACAATAATAAGGCACGCTGAGAAAGACTGGTGAAGTAAATTGATTTTTCTTACACGTATATATAAGGATTCTCTCCCGTGAATCCATCAGAAGTCTCCATTGAAACACCATCTATTTGTTTCAGCCTTTGTTAAGTTTTCAATCACTCATTTTTTTTACAGCTTCTCCCATGAAAAGGCTTTTCTGGCTGTATGCTGACTGCCTCATTTGTGGCAGATGTAAGTTTTAGCTTTACTGAGATAGCTACAAAAAGAATGGTTTTTACTGCTCCTTTACAAATATATATACACCTCCCTCCTTATTTCATCTTTATGATGTTTCTGGGTTGGCCTCAGGCCTTTTAATAATAATCAAAATGAGAGCAGCAGGTAAGAAAATCAGCTCAGCGTTGTTTAGGCATTCATATCCAATTTTAAACTTAAAAAGGACAAGAATCTGTCATTTCAGGTTTAATTTAGAAAGCAAAAAAAGGTAGGTTAGCTAAAAGAATGTGCAAAGAGAAGATGCGAGCGGATAAACCTGTGAAAACATTCCGTTGTGGAAGACCAACAGCTATTAAAGCTACAAAAGGGATAAGCTGGTGCCCTTTAGATATTTCCATTTTCCTTTCTGAAGATTTTTGTTGGAGGTTTACAGAGAACACTGGGAACAGCAGTAGCATAGCATAATGATACACAAGACATAACAACTCAAGTGAATGATGAGAGTGATAAAACACTACAAGCATCTGATTACAGAGGTGAATTCTGTTCTGGGCTCTATGTTCTCTCTGGGAAGGCAGAAATGGCTGCGTGTCGGTGTTGTGGGTGTGAGGAAGCAGAGATAAAGAACAACGGCTGGTACAAACCTGCTTATGCATTTAGGCAGATACAGCTGGTATGCTGGGTGCTGTGAAGGGAATCCACACTAATAAAACACTTCAGATTAAGAGGAAGAAAAGGGAAGCTCTCTATCCTGTGATTTTTTTCATCATAGTACTAGGACTTTGGACTGCTCTAACTGGCTGCATGACTTTATTTGTTGCTGACAAATGGAGAAGTCCAGTATTTTACAGGTTTTTTTCTCTCCTATTTTTCAGTGAATAAGAAGCTAAAGATGCATTTAAAAGGCATCAAAACAGAAATCTGATATTCAGAATGTTGCATCACTGTAAACATTAAAAATGTTGCAGTTGCAATATATTAACACTGTATCTACAAGGCCAATATTAACATGAACTATGTGACCAGAACTTTTTTTTTTGAGATAAGCTGAAACTGAATGGTGACAAAATGCCAAGGTTATCCTGATTCTAGACAAAGAGAAGAAAGAAGACCATTTATTTCTTTATAACTTGACATTTTTGCTACAGTTTTCATAACTGTTGGCAAAAGAAGAATGGAAGAGCTGACTCTGAGAGGCTTTTCTTTGGACTTAGAGATTTCTAATGCATGAAGAGATATCCAAGAATCTTTCAGTGAACAGTGAAAGACATTTTTTCATTTATAGTTTCTCTTGAATGTCAGACTCTCTGCTGCTGAATGCACTTCTCAAAGAATAACAAAGTTCTATAACCCCCCTCCCCCAAATTATCTTATTACTCGGAATAGTGGTCACAGACCACAAAGTAATGTCAGCTGTATCTCAGCCCATCTGCAAAGCAGATCTTGCCAGTATTTATCCTCACTGACAAGAGTTCTAAATCCTGCAGACTCTGGACAGCTTGTCTGTGGCCTCTTTATTATGACTGAGAGACCACATTTCATAAGAAGAATTTGGTAGTTCAGAGTTCAAAATCACAAATAACTGAAGATAGATTCTTGCTCAAAAGACTAATTTTGAGTGTTTCGGTCACACTCTGTTGGCTTCAGTTGTTTTCTACTTCTTTTGCTGGTCACCACTACTGGTAAGAAATAGGAGATAGGGCACGAGTAACTATTCCCTTCATCAGGAGAAATACAGCATAGTTCTTCGGTTTTGAGCTTGGCAGATTTTAAATAAATCACATCATTAAAAGTGCAGCTTTGCATGTCACATAGATTTGGGCAATATTCAATAGCCTCTGAAGCATTTCACATACCTGAAACATCTGTGATAATATTCATTAGTTTCTATGAGCTTCTGGAACAACAAAGGAAGAAAAACCAGTTCCAATAGCACTAGCTTACCTTGTGGGGAAGATAAAGCAGCAAATGCAGTTTATTGCACCTCGATATTTAATATCTCTTCTGTATCTCATCACCCAACATATACAAAGTGTTTTTCCTAATTCTTTTCCTTCTAGGAGTTACTCACGTGTAAACTTTGAGCACAAAATCCTTCTCTTCCTTTATTTCAGAGATTGATTGAAGTACATCCATGATGCTCAATACTGCACAGCCATAGGGGCGACGATAGTGTAAATGAGGGGGCCCTTTTTTTGAATCATTTAGCAACATGCGACCTAAAATTAACAGAAATCGAAAACATTAGAGATTCACATGCAGCCATTCCATCTATTCTGTTCTACTATCCCTCTGAGTATGCATACCTACAACAAGTTTCAACTACAGCTTATGGTCTTTCCTATACCTCTCACTCTTTTTTCTTCTTAAAGAAGAAAATCCAGAGGTCCACTTGAACCTACCTGACCCACTGGGCTACTTTGATTAAGGCACGTCACCTCATGTAGCTACAGCACACTCAAGGGCAAAGTGAGCAGCGTCATGTCTGGCTGTCTTTGATTTGCAGCCCCATGACACATATTTGCATCCAGCTGGGTTGACTACAAATCATCCCTTGAATGAGCCAAGAATACAGCTTGCACTCACGTCTTTGCACCTACATAGATGGCCCTTCTATTATAATCCCGTATTCACACAATTTTTCACTTTATACAATTGCTTTAAGGGAATGTGTTATATATTGTGTCATTTATCATGTTTGTCTTGGAGCACATAAAGGAGAACTCTGAGGTATGAAGCTGCTCAATGATTAACTTCCTATTGCTAAAGCAGTTTTTTAATAGAGTAAAAAATGCCAAAACCAGAAAAATTACTAATAATCTAAGCCAACTTGTAACATTACACATAATAATTTGCCCAGCACTTCTTGCATCAAGGTTAAGAATCTGAGCTTGAACTACAGCATATCTTTCTACAAGCTTCATTTACCATTTCAAGTGATACAGAGGTCAGAGAAGGAAAAACTAATCCTTCTGACACATTTGTGACTTTGTCATTCACAGGACAACACAACAAAGCTATGGTTTCACTAAACTGTCTAGACCTTCTGTACTTCACAAAAGGTATCTGTGGCTGGTAATGGATGCCAGTAGTGACTGGGCTGGAAATAGGGTGACACACCCTCTCATTGCAAACACTACCCAGTCACTTTTCAGTTAACTGAAATACATGACAGACAGTGCACTACTGAGTTGTTTAGAATAAAACAACTGAAGAGACTGACTGTTATTCCTATTATATGTTGTTAACGTTTAAGTACTAAATATTTGAAATAAATTATACTTCACACAGGTAAAATATTTAGTTGCTAATTGCTCATTAAAGTACACACACTCATAGTTTAGACCCATTTAACTCCCTGTAACTAACTAATTATATCCTTTTTAATTAGACCTTTCTTCTGTCCAACACCTTTCATCTAAGAGATTCTTGCAATTCGATTCACACACCAGAAGTCATACAGTCACTTCACTTAAACACACCACTGGGCTAAAAAATTCATCTATCTGTCCATGAACTACTGCGAGCACTGTACTATACCATGTAAGATGCATCCTAAATTCAACTTCAATCTTAAAACACTATTCATTCTTGATACTGCAAATCTCAAAAAAAGTAAATGAAGCCTAGCCTGGCCCACAAATAGTCAAAGAAACCCCCTCTATAAAGAGTGACTAGTCAAATGATTAGCAAGGAAGGGCTTGGGTAAGGTCTAGGTACTACACATCCAGATCTCTCCTTTGCATAGCTCTATGGGAGGAGTCAAGAGAACCTGAAAAGAAGCACGTGTACGCTGCTAAGTGTTGGGCTGCAAGCTTGACAGGCTTCCAGCAGGCAGGTACTGCTCTAATGCTCTTTTTTGGGATCAGCAGGCAGAAAAAACACCTGACAGGTGCTCTTGTGGTTCACAGGCATCTCCCCAAACCTGAATGTGGGTTCTTGGAAGCACTGCGGACTCCTGCAGTGGAATACATGTATTTGTCTAACAGTCTTTGACTTACTAGATGTGAATGGCCAGGTATGCTGATGTCCTGCCCTGTAAGCTAGCTGTGCATCATCAGTAAAAAGACCTCAATTGAAAATTTGGGACATTAAACACAAAGCCTTTTTAGTTCTTCCCTCTTCCCCCAAATGTGGTGTTTAATCAAATATTTTGTTTCAGGCTGAGAAAAAAAATAAATCACTGTTAAACAGTCAGCAGTAATCTTTTAACACTTAGCTACATATAGTCTGAATATTAATCTCAGCAGACAGACATAGTCTATAACATAGTTTTCTAACTGGTTAAATCATTATAATGTCAGCTAAGTAAAACACACATTTAAAATACTGTAAAAATGTTATTAATTGTATATACTGTAAGTAAGAAATCATACTGTACCTATTCGAATTACATGGGCAACTATGTACAAATCTCTCTTCATGTCCTTACTGCTGAGATCCTACAAGATTGGGGAAAAAATTTACATTAAAAAAGGAACACATTCCACTTCCAAAATAAGTGCCTGCAAAACTCCCATGAACAATAATAAGGACTACACAGTATTACTCTTCATTCATTTAGCTCCTGTATCGTTAAACAAGAGAAGGTATTATTATTTCTAATTCACAGTGAGAAAAATAGGATTATATTTGGTTGGAATGTCCTTTAGAAGGAAAAGAAAGAGTCTGACTCCACTAACTAGTGATGCTGTATCAAAATTCTAGCTAACATTTAAAATGTTCATTTAATCCTTAATTCAAACACATTATTAGACTGTATTACATTTACAAAGTAAATTTAAACCCCATTCTGGCTTCCTTCACCCCAACCCCTGACTACATACAGGTCCCTGACCTGTCCCTAACCCTGTTCCTTTGCTTCTGCTTTCCTTTTCTGGCTTTTGACTTCTCATCATGGAGTCCTAGTCTCACAGGATGGCTCCATAAAAAATCTGTAGCATGACTGTCAGAATTTAGATAAAACATTTAGGTGTTGTTTTATGTCTGGATAGGCGCAATTCCCCAGAACAAGCCAAAATCTGAAGAGAAAAGACGACAAGAGACTCAGAGATATGGTTTGTTTTAATGCTTTTGAATGTTCAGCTGTAATCCTGTTTCATATATGTTCATCATGTTACGAAAGCAGCAAGGCAATGTCTCAACCACGCACAGAACCTTCAGGCTCTTTCTGTATGAGCTGATGGGAGCCACGGGCAGCTGGTTCCTAGCTAACCTTCTTAAAAGTCCAAAAGCAGGGCAGGCTGCACGAAAGCTGCTGGCGGGAAATGCTCTCTGCCCCATTCTCACTGCTGAATCACGCCAAGGGATTATCTGGGGAGTATGGTCGTCGGAAAGGGCCACCTTTGGCTAAAAACATTCTAACAGTTTCAGTAGGGTAGATGGTCACTCTTGTATTTAGTATGTTCGAAACAGTGATAGGGTATTGGAAAAACTAAGAAATAAACTCAGTTTTAAGATGACGTAATTGTTTAGCAAAACACAGGACCTTAAGATCTCTCAAAAGTTCTTTTTATAGCAAGCAATTATATACATGGATGAAACTCTGAAATTCCATGTCACAAAATAGCAGGTCAAAACTTTTAAAAAGCGAGCTTGACCAAAAGCCAAAAAATGGGAAAAGGAGAACATATAGAAGAGTAAAAAGGAAAACTGAGGCTAATGAAGACAAAAAAGTACTACTGACCCCATCAAATCTTTATTATTAAAGATTATAAATTAGGAAAATACACATAGAGTACTTGTTAATAATTCATTACTGCGGCATTTTGCATTCGCATGTTAGAAGGTGTCTTAATTCCAGTTTCCTTGGCATGTTGTGTTTTTTTTCTGATAACATTATAAACTGAGATCAGCTTCTAAGACATGCCTCCCTTTCCTTTAGAGGAAGGATTGAAGAAACATTTGGGTTGTTCAACACATTTTCCTTATGTTACTAACCTCCAAGACAAGAAGATTTTAAGCAGATAACATGCATTGTGAGAATATTCATTCATGTTTTAGGCTCTGAGGTAAAAAGGCTCCTTGTGCTCCACAGCAACAGCTGCTGCCTCTCCTTGTCTCTCTCCACGCTACTAAGTGCTATCATCTTATTGTTATGTGCTGACTTACGCCATACAGCCTCCAAATTCTCCCCAAACATAAAGGGCATTGCTCCCGAACAAAAAGGAGAGCAACAATGGGAAACATAAAATGACTAACGTATTCTTCCTAAGAATGCGTAAGAGAACCATCCAAAAAGAAGGTTTTTAAGCTCAGTTACTGTTGTTCACGTCACTCTTCCCCTCACACTGAAGCAGACATCATCTCATGTCATTCTAAAACTTTTATTTTTTTGTTTGTACAAAATGTTTTCAACATGATGCTTTTTAAAAACAGCCCTAGGGCTTTATATATGACTTTACAAACAACTTGAGATGATAGCTATGTGTTCATGTTCCTTCACTTTTTTCAACACAATAAAAGATATCCATCCCAGCAGTAACAGCCACTTCTAAAAGGTACTTGTGCGGGCAGAACACCCCTGCTGGATTTGTTTATTCACAAATGTAGCTTGGCCTTCTAATACTACATTTTCTGGAAATACAATGCAATAACCAATTGAAAAAAATCTCAGGAACATATTCTGATAGAATCTTGTCTTTTTCTTCTTTAAAAAACACAAGTAAGTGGTACTGAAACCACTGCAAAAGGAAATAATGCAATTTTTTATATGGGAGGAGGGAAATTTTAAACTGTGGACATCTAAGTTCTATCATTCCCAGTTCGAACCAACTTAAGTGAACTAAAAATTGCTGGAAACTAAAACATGAACTTTAAGTCACACAGCAAATTATCTTCCCGTGTGACTTGAGAAAACAAATCTCAGCAAGTGATACTATGATGGCAATGTACATAAACACTGACCTTCAGACTACAGTGACATATAGCACAATAAAACCTGGGCACAGTGACTGAGAACTAGGCATAAAGGGAATTTATTCTAAAGAGAAGTTTCAGCCCCTTTCAAATAGCGTTATATTGCTAAATTACTGCAGGCAAGTCATAATTTCATGGCTGTATCTACTTACTCCGTTGAAAAGGAGCACTGCATTTCCCTGGGCAGCACATGCAGAGGGCTGTGAACACGCTGTTTGGTATGCTTACCAGCTAGCAGACCACGGCTCTATGAAGCCAAAGAATTAAGCTACATAAAACTTTCTTAGTGTTTTCTCTTCAAGTCTTATTTTGCTGCTGCATGAATAAGGGAACATACTTTCTAGGCTTTCTTCATCACCTAACACTCCAGAGGAGCATATGGTAGGCTTTATCTTGCATGTCTCGGAGAAACTGAAGTTCCATGATAGGATGTGACATAGTTTAATCTCAGTAGTGCCTGACAACACATTTCACAAAGCCAAAAAACTTCGAGGTAGTACTTAATACTCTAGAGAGTAATAAATTTTTGAAAATATCTGTGATTTGACAGGGAGAATTTTATTATACTATCAGATTACCCGTTCTAATTAACAGCAATTTACAGAACTATTTTTTTCAAAGGGCAGCTGTCAAAATATCAGAAAATGGTAAGGGCATGCACATATTGATGGGTTCACACTTTAGTTGCTTTTCAATTTCACAAAAGATACACTGTGTTACAGTCAAAAGACAAAAAATGTGGGCCCAGATGGGCTTGTATTTCATTTTGTACAGCAGAGGCTTTTTACAGGGGAGAAATTCTTACTATGATATGGACCAAACAATCCAAAACCCCAATGTCTGTGAGGAATTCTTCAGACAACTTTTTTCGCAGAGAATCCATGCACATGACTGAGGACTCAGAAGAGGACAAACTACATTTAGTATTTGCTTGTGTGCAATATAAACAAATTTCCAGAAAGGTGTTCTTATCCACATGAGCTTCTTAAATGATACTGGTTGATAAAATAATTTCATATAATCGTCATAGCATGGCTTTCTATAAAATCACCCCTAAAATTTTTCCCCACATATTGGCTATGGAGAAGAGTTACTCTATAATAATGGTTAGTTCTTTATGCTGCTGGCTTCTATATAAAGGTCCAACCACCACCCCCCCAAACCAGTGCAATCAAGGATACCTGACTACCACTAAAATTAGTTATTTAAACAGCTTTACCAAATTCAGTTGCCAACCTTGTAGGTCACGGTAAGTAAGGAATTTAACAAAAATAGCAAGCTTATACTGTGTGGTTACATTAGAATTCAGACACAGGAATGTTTCTAAAGCATGCATAGGCTGAGGTTTGCTTGAGCGAGCTATAATCTCCAGAGGAAGCCATTTCTCACCTTTGGTATGATATGACAGCAGATCCAAACCCAAAATCTAAGCAATTTTGATATCTTACACAAGGAGACAGCTGAACCAGTAGAAGCAACAGAGATAGCAGGAAAAGACAGGGATACCTTGAATTATCTAAGATATGGGGCTTCTTGCCTCTGGGTAAGATTAGAGTTTTAAAAAGATACTGGGGGGAGGTGGGGGAGGGTGAGGAAATAAATAGATTTAAAGTCAAGACTAAGATAAACTTGGGAACAAACCTGAAAATCATAGAACTATCTTATTTTGGAAGCATTACATAATTAAGAAATCATTATAAGATGGAATCACTGCAGATAAAATGGTTATCCAAAAATGTATTATTTGTTGCTCCTTTGCTCCATACTTTGGAAAGTTCTTTGAATACATTGATGGAAAATATTGTATCAGGAGTGTGCATGTATTTTGCACAGAAAATCTTCCCAATTATCACAACTCCTGTTATGTAGAGAATACATTCTAGCAGAGAGCATGACAGACAACAAGTCTAAGCATCTCTGAGAACAGATACTGAGGCAGCTTTGGTATTTTTGTATAGTTAAACGGAAAGGTAGCTTGGGAAGGACAGGTACTATAGAGCAGCACATCTGCAATACTTGGGGCTGGCTCCATTCATAATACGCAGCAGGTCTCTTCTGGAACTACATTATGCCCCTGGCTGTAGCGTATCATTATTCTTCTTGTATTTTTGAAATAATGTAAAAACTGGTTTGCAGGTTACAGAGCAAACCTGTTTCACACCGTTCACAACGTAGTGTGAAACAGGAGAGCTGCTGCATGACCCTAAGCAGTGCAGCATCAGTGTAGGTGGGGAAGTTTGACAGTGAAAATCTTCTTCAGAATGATGAACCTCAGAGGCCACAAAGCACCAAATTTGATAGGAACCAGTCTGCGCTGCCTTTTGGGAGTAATCCTTAGAGCAATTCTTAACCCTACATTCAACCTTTTTGCACGATCCAGACACCAGTGCTGAAGCTTGCTCCCTGGTGACCTTTCCCTGAGAAGAGAAAGATACTCTGTTTTGAGTTACCAACAGTGGAGCCATCAGTGCCAACAGCAACACCAAGACACTGTACCTCTGCTGATGTTTAATCAGCTGGTAGCACTTCACTGATGGCACCAAAACCAGAACTGCTGCTGATGTCAGCATCAATGTCAGTGCTGGTTTTGGATTGACCTGCATCTCTTATATCCAGTCAGAACCCAGCATCCTCACATCTGGCTAGATATGCTCTCTGCTCCTTAAAAGGAGAAATTCAGCTATCTTCTTAAAGGAGAGAAGGGAATGGTACTGGGAACCATGCCTACTTCAGTGTCCAGCCCTGCTTCACCTCAGAGGATTTCACTGCCAGAACTAAAGCTTACAGCAAAGCAGTCTGCCATCATTTTTCCTTCACTGAAGGTAAAAATACTCCTGTCAAAGAGCTTCTAGCATGTGTACTAGCTAAAGGTGAGTCACGATGGAAGGTGTTTATCACACTTGGGATCTGAAATTCCTTACAGTTATTCTGTGATGAGCTGTTAAGTTTCAGTGTCTCTAGATTTCCATATTCTTTCTGAGAAGAAGCGACAGATAAAATCATGGTCTGACACAGGATTCTGAGGCAATTTTTAACAGAACTTAAGACCAGTGTGGAACGGATATTAAAGCCTCAATGTTTTGAAACTACTATTTTGGTATAACCAAAACTATAAAACAAGAAAGCAGTTATGTGAGAGGTGAGCCTGAAGAATTAAAAGGAACTAAATCTTAGCTCCCAACTAACACATGATCTGGCAGAAGCCAGATGAGTATTACTTATCCTGTCTTTCTGGCACAGATGGTTAAAGACTGCTGGTATAGCTGGGTCATATCTACTTTGCGTCAGGACGGGGTAGCTACTTGCACAGACCTACCACAGAAATTTAGGAAAACACAGTGTTTCCTTTATTACAACCAACTCCCGGCTGCTGTTTCTGCAGCACATCCCAGTCTTTCTGGTCCATGACACACACTGTGCTGGTGATCTGGGGGTTTCCTGCTGCACCATCTACCTGGGGCTGCTACATGGACTCTCGAATGGGCCATGACAAAAATCTGCTTGGAGAATCTCCTGGGGTTTTTTTGTGTGCACGTATTTGTTGTTGTAGTTGTCTTTATAAATTCGACTCTGAAAAAAGTGCCTTGCTTTTTATTCAGGACAACATAGCTTTTTCCTGTTCCCTGTTACCTAAGAGCACAGTACATGCAATGAAAATATTCAGAATTTCAAACTATAAGCAAGAATAAATGCACATAAAAGGAAATACTTCAGAATATTTACTTAGCCATAAAAATAATTTAGAAGTAGGTCCATCTTCTAATATTAATAACATTTAGTTATAACCATAACAAAACTTACAAACAGCTTCTGGTCTACTCCGTGTATGGGAAAGGAAAATTTGAATTATTTCCCCTCAAGGTGACTACATCTACAATCATACTACCATAAGGGAAGAAGAAAGGGAACAGACACGTACTGTGAAAAGCGCACACATTCGATCTATCTTCTCTGGATTCCTGGGGCCTCCGTTCTTGTTTAACCTCACCATAAACCTCTCACTAAAAAGCAAACAATATTAAAAAAAAGATAAACAAGAGTTTCATGTATAGACTTCAACATAAAAATACAGAGAGATACTTTTTTTAAAAAAAGACACACTAGGTATTATGATTTTTGTCATTCCCGAAGCATATGAAACAGTACTCACTGATCTAGATAAAATTACATGGAATAGCATAGAGGACTTTTAACAGCAAGTATTCTGCATTTGAAAACATCATGTTGATGTATATTCATGATGCAATAACTTTAAAATAAAGTGAATATATGAAGGAGAGGATTTGAAATATTACAAGTACTTCAGGCGAAGGCTAAGGCACACTTGCTGAGGCGAACACTGCCTTTGGTAAAACTAAGTTCATTAAAATCTACTCAAAACTAGAAGTAACAAGAATACAAATCAAGCAAACCCCTTCAATATATACTCTTTGTAAAACCAACATACAAACTCAAACACATTAGGATTCAATTGACAGAACTGCCTATCAATCAAATTAAACAGTCCTTTTACCAGCAAAACGAGTGTGTATAGCCAGACTGCAAAATAAATAAACCTCATGATGGATGGTAAGCCATGGGCATTGATACTATTTTCTAAGACAGAGAAGTTACGTATGCAAGTAAAGTAGACAAGTATGAGTAATTTATTCAATAGGTGTGTGACAACACATGAAGTATTGACCAGAATTTTCTTTCTACATTTTCACAGAAAAAAAGCAAGAGCATAGCATTAAATCTTCTAGTTACATTTCCATGATATCACAGATCCTTTTAATTTTAAACCGTATCAACTCCAGTAACCTTTACTTGACTAAAACATATTTTCCAGCATATTATCCACTGTTGGCCTTAAAAACATGAAAACCTAGAGTACGCACTACTTCCTTTGGTAGCTTGCTCCAAAAGGCTATTCATCCCTCCTGTTAAAACATCAGCTTGGAAATGTCTGGGTTCAGTGTTTAGCCACTGCTTTTTGTTACAATTTCTGCTGTATGTTAAAGATCACTTTAGAAATGCTAATTTCTTACAGGGCAGTGATATCAGTCATTAATTATATTATGCAATCAAATATCTCTCCAAACAAGTAAGCCATGTAATGCTGCTAAGAAATTAAATAAAATGTGCTGGAATAATTTTATAGAACTTACCCGTAGTGCAATATTTCAACACCATTTCATGAACAGTTCTAAAAATGTAAGTTTGTAACAGTCTAGTACTGGTATCACCTACACCGTGGATACAAATATACCCATATGTGTATTTCACGCATATAAAACCAAGTCCCTACTAATCCTATCTGTAATTTATCAAACATCACATATTAGCCTTTGCACCACAGCATTATGCTGAGTTCATTTGAAGCAGTCTGTCCATTATCAATACTGATACATTTTCAAAATTGCTACTTTTGTAGGAACAGTCCCTAATTCTGTAAGCAGGACTCACATACCCAGTTATACACCTTTGCATGTTTATTTGCTTAATTTTCCCTTGTTAAGCATCCCAGATCACGTTCTCTGGATACTTCATTCTCCCTGTCATTCGCAATCACTCCCATCTCCATGTATCCCACAACCTCATTCAGCAATAATTGTAATCAGTTTGCAGCAGATGCTTATAAAGTGTGAGGTTGCTAATGGGCCCCAAAGAAACCCACAAGAAGCAGATATTTGGCGAGTCTTTACCTGTGACTACTTTTTAATATGTCAATTAGTAAATTAAGAATGTTTTAGAAAAACGCTTTAATGACATGGTATAATTGAATATTTTAGTAAGAATTTCATGGTGTATTGAGTGGAGGGCGGTACAATATTACAGCTTCAGTACACTACAGTAACAGTTACATTACAACAATATTACGCCTTCACAGTTACCTCTATCTACCTAATATATAAATCACAAGTAATAAAGTAATAATTTACAAAATAAAACTTATTTTCAATAAAAACACATTAATTACATTCTTATCTTTTATCGTTAGCTCATTCTTGTGCCCATTATTTGGCTGGTAACTGATTAAGGCTGTGAAAACACGCAGTAGCAAGCGACTGCAGCAGGATGGCCCAAGTGGTTGCTTTTTCCAGCTGCTGGCCTCAGTCCTGCGTTCCTCCTGCAAAAGGGCCACACAAACAGGACATCCAGCACTACCTGAACAATGACACTGCAGAACTCTAAATACTAATGTAACCTGAAATAGGTGCTAGTTCAGCAGCAGTCACAGCTGCTGGCGTTCAGCTCTCCCTACTCCATGAAGCTCAGAGGAGGAGAAAGCAGGACAGTCACAGCGATGCTCACAGGTAAGCTCTGGTTAATACAGGGAATAAATAAACCAGAAGATAACTAACCATAAATTTCCAAATAGGAATTATTATTTAAATATTAATAAATTAAATATTAATATTTAAATATTAATAAATTAAAAATATGCAGTAACTTAAAGAGATATCAACGCATAGCCATGTTCTTTCCAAGCTGCAGCATCAATACTTCCGATGCCTTTAAAAAAACTGCTTAGGGGGATTTTGATTTTAATAAATCCATTTAATTGTAATCCTTGAATCAGTTCAATTGTAAAATCTTTCATTTAGAAAGATTAGGAGGTAACATACATTTTATTTCTGTTACAAGTATAATTTGTTAAACATGCCTCTTTCCACAATGAAAAGTAACATTCCTTAAAGAAAACAAAAAGCTACCATGACCTACAGAGCTACAAAAGTTACTTTTATAAAATAAACATCAGTCTTCTTTAAAACTGAACTTGAAACAAGAATTAAATGACTGTAGTTAATTTGTTAAATGTAAATTTGCCAACACCCCCTACTTGAACACTGAAAAATCATTACTACGCCCTATGCATACTAACCATGTCCCATTTTTCAGGATAAGAGCATAAAATGGATCAACACAAACAAGATCTCTGACAAACTATTCTTTCACTTCTGCTGCTGGGAAAGTAATCCTGCCACCAAAGAGGCGCACAATGGAAGAACACAAAGCTGACACACGCAGCCGAGGATCAGGATGAAACAAGACAAAAAGCAGCCTGCCAGCCGAAGATTACGAGCAATATAAATCCCATCTGCAGGGGAAAACACATTCACTAGTGAAGATGTCCATCCAAAATCAAAGTGTAAATCAAAGCTGGCTCGCTCATAGTTGATTGCAAATCCCTGGAAGTTATTACACCTTATACAATAAACGCCCGGAATATCTTCACTGCCGTTGCCGTCAGATCAAGGCTGGTTCTCTTTATTCAGAGGATGACTGACGTTTTGAAGGGAAGCCAAACCACTAGTAGAGCACCAAGCTCTTCTGTGAGATGAAGAACCACTTACAGAAAGGGGAAACAGAAATTTGAAGATGCACTGATGACTAAGAGTATTTTAAAATTTCAGGATAAAAATACACAAAAAATATACTACTAGCCAATCTTATAGAAGCAGAAGATGCTGGCCCAACAGATAAACTGAGCTGATGTTCAAAAACAGACAAATCCTAACAACAGCCTTCCATAAGAAAGGTGCATCTTACCCTACTATCCTGTCTCCAATAATGTCCAGCAGTGGATAACCAGGAAAACAACAGAAGAAGAAAGAAAGCATACAGTAATACACTGCTGATATGTACTATCAGCTTACACCAGTGAAGCTCAAAACCAGCAGTAATATCTTTGAGTTTAACCTGGGAAGTATTCAGGCTATCATGCTTAAAAAAAAAATATCACTAGCCGTTTACAGAGTTACTATTAGAAAGTGAACTTTATAGTAATTCATAATATATGTATGTGCCATACAAATGCATGTATATATACGCATAACATAACTCAAGAATTTAAGAATTAAAACTCATTAAGTTTAAATTCTTCAAGATATAATATTATAACTGCTCTTTTACCTCCATTGATTTCAGTAATAGCATTACATATTATATTTTAAATCTCCAGTAAGGTCTATATTTTTGAACTTCCAACACAAGTTTTCTTTGAAAAGTTATTTCAGCACCAATGAGCATTTAATTTTCATAACTGAAGCTGAATACAACACTGTATGCCACAGAGTCCTCTGCAGGCTGTCCCTCTGACAATAGCAGAGAAGGGACAGTCAAGTCTTTGAGCTGAGACAGTCAATTCATACTTTGTTCATTACCAGAATTTGTATTGCTGAGTCTGCTTTCAAAACATCCAAAGAGATATTCTGGAGGCTCATTTGATAGCCTCTTCCAAGGTTTTACCCCATTAACAAGTGGAAATATTTTAAAATTTGCAGTTCACCCCTTTTCTTATTACAGCCACATAGAAAATCTGGTTTCTGTCCCCATATTCCAGCACTTTTCAAGCAATGAAGCAGACCACCACCTTTTTCACCCGCCTGTTCATCCACTGTTCTCATATTCCAGCACTACCTCAGTAACAACCTTTGAATTCCTTCCTTTACTTTCCAGTCCTCCCTTGAGTCCTCTTGAGCTTGTGTCACTAAATAATTAAGGGGACTTGGAGGCAACCGCAGCATTTTGAGAAATGTGGAACACGAAGAGGCATTTTGTCAAAGAAGATATCCACTGACAGGACAAGGAGAATGAAAAGACAGCAGTGCTAATAGGCAATTTTAGAAGACTAAGCTACCTCAAGTTCTTCCACCTTTCCTTGCAGGTCATTTCTCCTAAACTTACAGTTTTGTTTCTCAACTCCAGAATTTCTCTAATCTTTGGTATTACTGTTCAAGAACAACTTATAGACACTAGTGTAAATATTCCACTAAGGCCTCACTAACGCGGATAATGTTAGTATATCCTGGAATGGGACTTGGAGCTTTTTTACACTGTTGACCCATACTGTGAACTCGTTAGTCAGACGCTCCCCATTTTACAGCTGCAAATTTATTTCTATGTCAAAGGAAACCAGGAAGAATAACCCTGTTTTCAGTGATCTGAAGATCCACTGCCTTCAACTACAATTATAGCTCCTTTTTTAGATAAAGATACACACATATAGGGTCAA